ATCTTTTTCATTTAAACCTGCGTCAGTTTCGATTTTAAGACTCTTAAGAGCAACCGTTAAATCACAATCTTTCCACTCGTATTTAATAACCTTTCCAAAGCCTCCGAAGCCAATCATTGTGTGATCTGTGAATTTATCGTATTCAATATAATCAATATGTTCCTCGGAAATAACTCTTTCAAGCCATTCTTCTGGTATGTTTGCCATGACTTTTGTATGCCGAAAAATTCGTAAATTCTGTACGGACGTACGTACAGTACGTACGTACAGTACATGTTTTTTATACTTGCTGACTACGTGATACTGCTACGTGACACTGCTACGTGACACTGCTACGTGACACTGCTACGTGACACTGCTACGTGCACTGCTACGTGACACAGCGTTTAGTTCAAAATTACATAATGATCCGTGACCTAGAAAAGTCATGCTTGTATCAAGATCCCGACGTTATTTTGTTTGGAGCCACTGATCCAAAAGAATAGGAAAAACATTTACGTTTAAATTCAGAACAAGAAAATAAAAAGAAAAATTCCGCTTAACTTCGGATTCACGTGAAATGAGAGAATGATTAGCGGTGTATGATTATTATAGGAAATTTGAATGAAAAAGAAACGAATTAATCCGCAACCTCGGGAATTTGTGTCGGAAATGTTTTCGTCCTATAAATTTCATATTTAAACTAAAGATGCTGATGAAATTAAACAAGAATGATAAAATAATTTCACCACTATTGTTAAAACTGATATTATACAGAGATTCATTTAATGTTTTTTTTTTTTAAAAAAAAAATAGATGATTTCTGTCCTTCATATATTCTGTAGATGGCAAAATTGTGTTGCTCTCTATAATGTATAATGTATATTTGAAAACCTGTAAAATTCTCTTACAATTGAAAAATCGCCTAATCCCCGCGATTTTACGTGGCATCATGATCTGCTGGGGTCACACTTTTTTGCCAAGTGCAATAATATTTGCAATTTCTCGGAATATCCGCAAATATCCATATAAATTTATATATTTATTCAGTAGCATAAATGACTAGAATCCCTATTATATGTTTTTATTATGTTTTTTAAAATTTTTTAAGATTTATATAAAATTTTTAACGCCATGAATATACATTAAATAACCATGATAGATCCCAACTCTAACGCAGATAAATTTTAAAGTATCTAAAAAGCATTGCTTACTTAATGCAAGTGATTTTAAACAAAAATTGTCAACTGATAAAACATAAAAATATTAATTTCGATAAAATTTCTTTATTATGGAGCAATACTCAAACTAAATAAATAAATAAAAGTTTGAGCATATCGAACAGAAACTTATTGAACAACCAAATGTATATAGGTAAAGAACATTCAAAAGAAATAGATAATACTATGTTTATAACCATTAAGCGTCAGTTTCAAGTTAAAAAATTATAAGTCTAGATAAAGGTAATAAGTCTAGGTAAAGGTAATAAGTCTAGTCAAAGATTGATAATAAAAAGTTCACTACTTCTGCAAACGAAACTATGTCACTAGTCACATTCAATATTGAAAATTGCTTTGCCATGATCTTTTACTTTAGCTATGGTGTCGATACCATAGAACCAGGTGCGCAACATGTGCATAGTGTATCAGGATTATTTCCACATGGGCTAATACAGGTTGCAGTAGGGTCAATAATTGTATTACAAATAATTTTAGCTGTACAAGTAATGCAAAGATTTCAGACACCGTTAATACATTTGCCAGCAGCAGGAAACGTCAGCGTTCCGTTAGTTAATTGATCACCGAGACATTGCGAATCATTAGTACAACCGGGACTGACACATATTACGGTTTTACAAGTGTTTAAGTTAAAAAAAAGAAGAAAATTTTGTCAAAATAAAAAAAAATAAAATGACTAATACACACAGCGTTGCTACAAATCCGCAATTCATTGGATCAGAAGTGGTATCAATGCATTTCTTATTACAACAAGTCTGTCCATCAGAACACTGTAATATAATAATTTAAAGTTAGGAAAACAAAGCAAGAGGTGGGGAAAAAAAAAACATAAATACGCACACATTCATTGCAACATTTTTTAGCTTTATCACAGCATTGTCCATTTACACACACTTGACCATTTTGCACTGTAATATAAAATCATTTGAGGTTAGTTAATATTCTAAAAAGATAAAATAAAATAAAAAATTAGGAATACATGCACAAGATGTACCACACACAAGTTTAGAGGGGCAGCATGTTCCATCTGGGCATTTATAGTGGTCATTAGGACACTGCAAATAAAATCAT